TAGAATACAGATTCTAGCATGATATTAAACGATGTATAATGACATAGCTGTATTCGGTATGAATACGAATTTCAAGCTTCAGCAGCTCTATCCCAGCAACTTGATAATAATAATATTATTACAAAGCCATTACAAATTTTGGCTAATTGAGGCCTACGGCCATAGCTCTGCGTAATGACATTAAACAACTATGTGTTGAGATTTTATCTAAACAAATCCAGCAACCGGTTGGACAAAGGCCCATGAACATACAGACAAAAGCCACAGAAAGGGAAAATAAAGAAGCAAAGAAGCGAGATATGGACACCAACATGTCCAATATTGAACTTTAGCATATTGCAAGACAAATGAAGACTTGGCTTACGGGCCGGTCTTGCCAAGGTCTTTTGGCATCCATGGCGACCAAAGTGGAGGAGGCCGACGATCAATCAGATCGGTACTTCGTACTTCACAAGCCTCCAATCCACCTTGAACCTGAAGTCGATTTGAGGAAGTACTTAGGTGTCGTTAATTGTGTGCTTTTCTCGAAGTGTCACATTCATTTCTATGCGATCTTTATCGCGCGGTAATGACAGTACAGAAAAGAGTCACACTTCTATGGAAATGTACTGCAAACTGGTTTGGTTTTATATAGTTTTCGTTTGCGTCTGAAAAACCAGTTTGATGATTTTTTAAAAATTGGTTTAATCAACATGCATCTTGGCCAATTTCAATATTGAACAAAGCTTTTGTCTGCCATTTTGTCTTAATTCTGCGAATCTGAAGATTTACGAGCCGAGCGTGATTAAAATGTTAAGCTTATTTCGGGTCGTTCCCTAAGCAATTAAATGTTTTGATTGAAATGTTTCCGTGATTCTAAACTCCGCTGGGGATTCCAAAACCAAAAGTACCTGCTTTCCAGCCAACATTGCAGCCTAAGCCTAAATCTCGCAGAATCACAGACTGTCGGCAGTCAAGGCTGCATAGATATACCGATTATGGGACAACTCGGACTGAACGAACTGCATAATAAATGTCGGCGTTGACAAACTTCAAAAATTGGATATGGTTTTCAGTATATTTGTGTCGGCCCACGTAAAAACAACTTTAGCAAAGTCAAACTGGCCAAGGCCCACGATAAAAGTCTCACTTGAGTGGAAATGTTAATTAATTAATTTATGAAAAACTAGTTAACGCAATTAAACAGCATGCACGATTCAAAAAAGGTTGAACAATGACCGGCAGTAAATATATTTTAATAAGTAATTGTATTTAACTTGAATGCACTAGAAACTGAAAGTAGAAACAATAGCTACTGCCTAAGTAGTTGTGCAATGTAAACTTGTTCTGCTTAACCTTATTTGGGTATTAAAAAATTAGAAATGAGTTCTTAGTTTTATTCTGTGGCAATATTCAAATATTTTAAAATTGTAGTTTACGAAATCCAAGCTTACTTAATTTCCTCAATTTCGTTTTCGTGTTATCAAGCAAGGTTGTTATCAAGGTAAAAACTCCACAGTGATGTATAATAATAAGATACCGACTAAAGCGATGTTTCCAAACTATATAAAACAGACTGTTGATTAATATAGCGTTGTCAATTTTTCCCTAACCAGATATGTTCCGTTTGCTGATTCTTGCGGCCTGCCTGACCGTCAGTGTCCACGCCTACGCCCAAGGTGCTCCAAAGGTACAAATTTGGCATTGAAACCCGTATGATTTATGTGTTCCATATCGCTAATGCATGTACATTATCCCATCCTCATTATTCCAAAGTCCGCCTGTCCGGACCTGACGCCCCAGCACGGAGCCAAGACGCAGGCGATCAAGCCTCCGTACAGCATCTCCGGACTCTCCCACGTGCGCTCTGGTCAGAAGCTGACCCTTTCGCTGGGCGGCGATGAGTTCATTGGCTTCATGATCCAGGCACGCGATGGCCAGAACCGCGTCGTCGGCCAGTTCCAGCTGGTGGACTCCGCGCACTCGCAGACCCTGGACTGCTCCGCCAAGGACGATACCATCACCCATCTGAATGCCCAAAAGGGCAAGCCGCTTACCGGGATCACCTTCGATTGGATCCCGCCAGCGGGCTACAAGGGCAACGTCAAGTTCATGGCCACCGTAGTGCAGACCGGATTTGTCTACTGGGTGGGTCGCGTCACGAAGGACGTCGATGTGGAGTAGGCAGATTCGCAATGCTTGTGATAGAGTTTTCATGATTAGTTCAAAATCGTATTAGCGTTAATGTTCCGATTAGCTTTGGAGCGTAGTATTTTTGAAAATAAAGTCAAAAAGTCAAATAAAGTTTTGAAAATAAAAGTTCGTTGATGAAAAGGAAGTTATTTGAATTATGTGTGGCATCGCTGGGATTTGAAAATGAATATTGGAGTGCTTCAGAATCGGATTTTAAAAGATATACATCATATTATTGTCTGATGTTAAGCGTTGTTAAGTGCCTTAAATATTAGAAATGAATTCATTCAATGGCAGCAAGAAATATTTTTATATTTTTTATGAACAAATTCAAAAATTTAAAAATTTTTGTTCCAAATAACGGACATGTTTTCAAAACCGATAACGATAATTACTTGAGTGTCGTGTAGCCCAGCTTTCAGTTGGTCTGCTAGGTCAGCTGTTTATCGCCGCAACTAATCAGCTGTTTGTTTTTGCTTGTTTTATAAGTTAAAAAAACTTTATTTCCTGCCTCAGCTTTGAAAATTAAGCAAATTTGGTATGATAAGAAGCCTTCTACGCAGCTTCGAGACGGCGCTCAAGCTGCATGTACGCTCAAATACAGCTCCATTGCACTGCAGCAGGAGGCTGCTCTTCTCGCAGTATGAAAACCGCGCCAGTCCGAGCAACTCCACACTGACCACCAGTGGCACTTTAGGAAGCAGCGAGGCGGACAACGATTATGTGCCTTATCGGCAGGACCATGAGACGGGCACCAAGGCCCGGGTGCTTGTCGAAGCTCTGCGGGAACGCTTTCGCTTCACGGACGCTGAGCTCCAGAGGATAATGAGCGATGAGCTCGTGCACCGCTGCTACCGCGGAAGATCGCTGGCTCTGATCATGGACACACTGCAACTAGAGGGCGTCAGCAGGCGCAGCTTCGTGGAGTATCCATGGCTACTGTCCCTGGACAACAGTGAGCTCATTTGCCGTAAATTCCGTTTGCGAATGAATTTCCAATATTTTGTTTATCAATACAGAACGCTTGCAGCTAAAGCTGCAGTTAATCAAATCAATGGAGTATAAGGACATCAATCATTTTGTGCCCTTCCTGCGCCTCACTGTACCACGCCTTCGCAAACTGGTAGGTGCACTAAACTCTGAGAGGGACGCGATGCCACAGCGAAATAGGGTCTACTACATCAGCGAAAAGCTGCAGGTCGGTCCCGATATTGTGAGCAAATATCTATCGAAGAGGCTGTTTATCCTGGAAATGCCGTACGAGATGCTCGAAAAGAACCTGCAGCACATGATCGACTACGATGTGTCACCAATAAACGTACTCAAGGATCTCTGGGCCTTTCGCTACACACCAAAGTCTGTTCAGTTGCGTTTGGAGCGCGCCAAGCGGGCGAAAAAGGACAAGATCATGCCGTGGATGGTGCGCTGCCCGGAGCCAATACTGCAGCGCTCCTTGAAGCTTACACTTGATGAGCTGAAGGTTTTGGGGGAGTTATCCTCCGTGGTGGAATACTTAGCGCATCGTCTGGGATTCAGCGCTAGTGAAGCTAAGGCAATCATGGACAAGCATCCGCAGGTGCACACCGTGCGAGTGACCAAGGTAAGAGACAATGGGTTAACACAAAAGAAAAAAAAAACAATAGCTCTGAAATGTCTGTTTTAGATCAAAGAGGTTCTAGACTACTTACTCGATGAGGCCCAGTTTACAAGATTTGAGATCGCCCAAGTTCCTCGAATTCTGTGCCATAGCCTGAGAACCACAAAGGCGCGCATGGAAGAACTAAAATCGCACGGTTGTCGACCCTCCTCGCTCGTAATTCTTTGTCGCAGCCGGCGGGAGTACGCCAAGTTTTTGCAGCACTGGATAAGCCAAGAAAGAAATCCGCAAAGTATATCAGAAGGATGATCTTGAATGAACTGATCCCATCACTGTCAAAGTATATAAAGGTTTTTTTAGTTTGGCATAAAATTGAACAAGAATAAAAACAATATTGCAAAAACCTCAGGAAAAAGAGTTAAAAGTAATCAAAATTCAGGTCCCGCCATGTCCCACGGGCAATTTCCGCTACTTTGGCATTATCCGCCTGGGCTTGGGTCAGATCATTGAGGACATAGTCCCGACATGTCAGGATCTGCCAAAGATGGCTTTGTTTTCAGCCAAGACTCCCAATGTCCCGCCAAAGATCCTGACATGTCGAGTTATGTCCCGCCATGTCCTGGCAGATCCCGCCACGTCCCGAAATGTCCAGCCATGTGCGGCCATGTCTCGCCATGTCCCGCCATATCCCGCCATGTCCAGCCATGTCCTGCTAAAGATCACGCCATGTCCCGCCAATGATCACACCATTAAGCGCCATGTCCCGTCATATCCCGCCAAAGATCCCGCCAAGTACCGCCATGTCCCGCCATGGCCCGCCAAAGATCACAGATTTGGATTGCAGTGGCTTTACCTCCAAATGAAGAAGTCGTACGCCTCAGATAGCTTGTATAGTTTAAAGTTCGTTCATATCTAATTTCAGAACAGACTACATTTCAAACTTTGTTAATTAGAAAATTCCAGCAAACTAGACTAATACTTAGCGAATAAAGGGTTTTTTAATAACTTGAAATAACTTGATTGCTTTGCAAAAATAAAAACACTATATAGAAAGCTTATTTTCCTTTCAGTAAAAAATTGGTTTTCTAAATTTAGTTTAACAGCGTTCATAGTCTATCTCTAGATACGTAAACTATGCATGCAGAAACCATACAATTATTTAGCTTCAAATAGAATATTTCTATCTGAGGTGTATAAAAGACTGGTTCTTTTGGAGGTAAAGCCACTGCAATCCAAAGTATCATCCTAACTGGTCGAGATGTTCATCGAAACCTTCCTCTTGCTATTGGCGCTCAATTCCCTGTCCGCAGGACGAGAAAGCCGACCGGAAGGACGCGTTCTCGGCGGAAAACCCATTGAAATCGAACAGGCACCCTGGCAGGTGTCCTTACACCATAGAGGCAACTTTAAATGTGGTGGCTCCATTTATAGCGAAAACATCATAATTACTGCGGCCCATTGCTTTTTCACTGGAACCGAACGAGTAGATGACCAAGGACATCAAGTTCGCATAGGATCCGCCTTAAAATACTCAAACGGAAGTCTTGTCGAAGTGGACGTTATAAAAATCCATGAAAATTTTAATGTCGTCAACGACATCGCCATTGTGCGGCTAAATAAGCCACTTGTGTTCACAAACAAAGTTCAGCCCATTCCTTTGGCCAAGAAGAATCCTTTTCCTGGATCGATTGCCTTCGTCTCTGGCTGGGGAATCTCTAACTATCCTACGCTTGAACATCCTGAACATCCTGAACATCTTCAAGGACTAAACCTTCCCATTCAAAGCTCTAATAATCCATCGCTGTTATGGGCAGGAAATACTGGAAGGGCGGCTTGTCGTGGGGACTCCGGAGGACCGTTGGTGGCTAACAAACAACTTGTGGGAGTTGTCTCCGGTGGTTCAGAATATTGCGAAAAGAGTTCATACTACTCAAGTGTCCCGTATTTCCATGAATGGATATTAACTGCTATTGCCTCAATTAAGTAACATGTTCAAGTAATGTCAGCGAATCCAAATAAATAAATATTCACATCAGCAACTACAAATGTGTTCAGTCTTCTAGCGTACTACATATATCAAATATTTTGTTATGGGACTAGTGGAAAATGTGAATTGTAACAATAAATTTGAAGTTAATCTAGTTTGACAAAATGAACAGTGGAAAACACAGATATTGATTGTCCCAGTAAATATTAAATTAAATTAAATATATAAACTAAATAAATAAACGGGTCTGGTGTCTTTTTCGCAGCCAACACTGCCACGCCCACACTTTTAAAAATTGCCGATTTATATCGTTTTGCCAAAAAATTTCGAACTATCTGAGTAACGGGTATATGATAGTCGAGAAACTCGAGTAAAGCGTTCTCTCTTGTTTTTTCACGGAAATGAATTATTCCTGACACCTTGGTCACATTTATTGCAGACAGCAACTGTTTACACATTGAAATATATTCTTATGACATTAATAATTAATTAAAACATTTATATTTGATTTAAATATTTATCTTAGCTAACATTTAAATACGACTTGTGCTCCATTTGAATACCATTGCGTAGTTGTACTTCAACAGAGAGTAGCAGTTTGATTTGTGACTGGCTCTAAAGCTAGAGAAGACATGGAGTAAGCGCCAACAGATTCCAGCTTAAAAGTACAGATAAAGCTATAAATTTGAAAACCATTTCAGACATCATCTTCATCGACTCGCACCTTCGCTAAGCTCGTTACACATTCAGCCTCAACAGAAGAATCAAACTAAAAGCTAAGAAAATCTTTGTGCTGACTTAGAAATATCTTTGGTTGTGTAGACATCGGATTCGATTGTACTCTCGATTTAGTCGCGTTGGGCGCGCCGTCGCTCCAATGCCACCTGCATGGACCAAATACTCAAAGGGCGCATATAGCCAATGGAGCGGTAGCGCTTTTCCCCGTACAACGCTTCCGGGGTCTCGAAGTTCATGCCGATGCGCTGCGAGAGGGTCTTGTACATTCCGCCGGCGGTTTGGAAGGCTTCCTCGAACATGCCCTCCTGTATCATGGTGGCAGCCAGAGCGTACACCACCCCCGGCCACACCTCCTCCGCCTGGATGTTGCTGTTGTCCACGTGACCCGGCTTGGTGGGTTCGCCGGCGTTGGCTATAAAGCCGTTGGCCGCTCCGATATTGCCCTCATGAAAGCCCATCACATTGTTGTCATAGATCCTCTTTAGGGCAGTACGCACATTCTCCTTCGGATAGATTTCGTAATCGAAGCCGCAGGACTTTAGATACCAATGACCGCATAGCTGATCGGCCATGATCGTATCCCGGTGACTGTGCGAAAGATCAAAGCGATAGTAGCTGCCGTTCCAGAGCTTCTCATCCAGCGATCGCTTGCCCTTCTCCAGAATATCCTGATAGCGCAGACAATCATTCGGCTGGTCCAGAATTGTAGCCATGGCGGACATGGCTTGCAGGGCAGCCAGCCAGAGACCGGAGCAGTAGGCACTTGGCCCGTCCATCACCCAGGAGTCGTAGGTCTGGTCCGGCATCTTCGTGTTCTCGATCAGACCGTCGTTGTCTTTATCGTACTCAATGGTCCGCTCCATGATGGCCTTGCACGGTGCGTACATGGCCTTCAAATAGCCAATGGCGTCCATAAGATACACCTTTCCATTTGTTTCGTTGATGTACATCGATGCAGACTTACGGTTTTCTGTAAAAGCCAAAGTTTAATTTTCATGCTCATAGGAATTACATATGTCGAAAAATATTATTAGCTTACGTTGCTTTTCATCAGCAGAATTCTTGCGCTTGTTGTCCTGGCTGTACAGCTCATAAAGACTCTCCTTATCAATAAACTCGATGGAGCTGAACTTGCTGGCATTATCTGCCTGAGCCTGGGCCAGTTCATTGAGGACATAGTAATCCCGATAGACCTGCAGCACAAACTTCGTATTGAGATCCTTCCAATCATTCACATCGTGAATGTTGTAGCAGTTTATCAGGGTGAAGGGCTCTGGATAATTCCCATATGTTTAGTGAAGAATACATTTTAAAGATGTGGTTAAACTCACCCTCATCGGGATCCCCGAGATCGTGGGGCACACAATTCTTGACCTTGCGCGGCATCACCTTGCCATCGTAAAGCATTTTACGGGTATCGCCTAGTTCTGCGGCTATGGCATCCTTGAAGTCGTACTGCAGACTGACCTGAAGATTGGGCCACAAGTGAGCCAGTGCCGGAGATGCATAGAAATGGACATCGTAGGTGTTGTACATGCGGTACTCGTGGCCTTCTAGGTAACCGAAGCGGCCATAAGCCAGACGCGGATCATCATATGCCAGTTCCTTGCCCAGCGAAGAGTCGCATTTCAACCAAATGGTTCCGCCGTCCGAGATGAAGTAAAGTTGATTGAATATGGCGCACTTGTACCAGTCGGGAAGGCTCCTATAAAATGGAGGATGAAAACTGGAGGAAACTCTTTAGAAGCAGAACAGATGTTCCACCTACTCATCATTGAGAATGGGTCTTTGCCAGGCATCGATCAACCGCTCCCAGGTGGAATACTGCCTAAGTGCATACTCGCAAATCTTGGGACCCGCGTCTCCGCTGTCATCGAAGTACTTGGTGTAGTAGCGCGTGTGGGTCTGCATCTTCCTGGGGAACTGAATCTTCGGCATGTCCCAGGCCAGCACAAACTCCAGGTCGTGGGACGCCATGGGCTTCAGAGCCACCTGGGCACAGACAGCCACGCCAATATCTTTAGCTTTGGAAAGAGTAGGGAGAGTATTTATCATTTATACCAATTAATTAACTAATAAGTGTGGACCTACTTTTTAGGGCCTCTGAGGTGGGCTGTTCGCTAAGCTGGCCGTGCTCCTTGAGCTGGGCCCACAGTGGCTCTCCGTTGCCGGCGGGATCGAACTGGGGGCACCGCGTGATGCTGATCTCGGGAAGGACTCTGCATGCCAGGTTATAGCTGCAGGGCATTTCAGCGATCTTCTGCCTGATGGAGACACCCTTGGCGTTGCCCTCGCTGATTAGCTGCGACTCTGCACCGCCCTCCGCATCCTGTTTTTTGTTCCCTGTGCCGTTCTTGAAACTGAACGTGATGGATACCTTGCGCTCCTGGTCGCAGACATTCTCCACGCTCCAAACGAAGACCGCGCAGGGCAGGCTGGACTCACGGTACTCATGTGGGATCACCGGCGATACCTGGCGACAGATCAAACGCACTCCATAGTGGGACAGATCGTACTCCGTCCAGGAGCGAGGATAGAGGCCCGTGTAGCTGCAGCGCGAGTCCTCGATGTTCGAGTGCCAGGCACTCAGCGGCTGCTTGGCTCGACTGCTGCAATTGGGCAGTTGACATTTAGTTCTTTCCCCGTCCGGATCGGCATCCGGATCGCTGGTCTTGTCCCTGGTGCTGGATGGTCATGGTGTGGGTGTGGGTGTGGTTGTGGGTGAGGGTATGGGTATGGGTGTGGGTGTGGGTGTGGGTTTGTGTGATTGCGCGGGAGTGGCAAAGCAACAAAGCAAAACCAAATCGGAACCAAAATGCATAAGGAAGCCAAGGTAAAACGTCCATCATACCATACCATGTATACCACATCGTACAAAACCATTGTTGTCGCGCCAGAAAACCCAAAACAACCCAGAATCGGAGGTTTGTATGTTCAACATATCCATGTGGTGATTGTTGTCGATTGGAGTTGCGTGATTTATAATTCGTTTTATGTGTGCATCAAGAATTAGAGAAAAATATTTAATTTTGAAGTTGTAATCTCCATTCGAAACAGGTTTTGCTTCTCACAGATTTGTTTTTCGGGTAGTTACAGAGATACCGACACCTTTCTTTAAGGAGAGTGAGGGGTTATCGGTTGAAGTGATCTAGGGTTATGGAAAGCTCACACATTTCTGTTGGAGGGCTAAGCTGGAGACATATATACACAAAAGACCAGTTTAGTAGTAGGATTCCTTTTGGGTGTAAGCGGAAGAGTCTGTTGAAGTTGTTTCGAGGGTGTTGAGTATGTTTTAAGAAAAATTAAATTGCAGGAAGAGGCGAATCGAAAGAAACATGTTGTATACTTAATGCAGAACTAAAGCGTACAAACTGGCAAATCAATTTAAGGAAGAAAGCTCTACATTCATTTGTATGTCAACTGTGATTTCCATTTAAAAACTCATTACAATGAGAAGGTATCGAAAGCGTTAGAAATGGCTTTGTCAATTACTGCATTATTTTACGTATTTACGTGTTAAAATACAGCTAAAGAAAACAAAGGCCTTCAATTCAAAACGTATCGTTAAAGTGATTCTAATTTGATCCATACATTTTCCATACAGAAAGTTCTTTGTTCAACGTGTCAATATAAACAACTTAGGTTCAACTATATGAAAATATACTATGTCAATGGACATATATATAATAGGCGGAGTGAGGGAGTTGTAGAGCTTAAATTAAATTCAAAACATGCAAGCAACACGAATCGCGCATAACAAACAGAAAATTGAAGTGGAAAACAAGTGCAGAGGAAATCGGAAAACTAAAACCTTCTTAACAGCGATGGAAAAGGGAGACAATGAGCGGTAGATCGGTCGAAAGATATGTGCTCACCTGCACTTCGAGAGGAGGCTCTGAAAGATGGTGCATCCCTTGGGATCCTTGATGGTAACGATGAACTGATTGGCCTGCACCACATTGTACTCGTAGATGCCGGGACGCATCTGGAATCGACAGAACTCGCCGGCATAGCCCCTTCCAATGGTGCCGCCGCCGATTCCTCCGATGGGCACTCCATAGATCTGCTTGCCGTTCTCCATGTAGTAGTAGTCCATATACACCCGACGACCTTCACGCGACACTTTCCAGTAGTAGGCCGCATATCTGTGGGAAGCAGAATCAGAAGCACAGAGTGAGCCAATGAGAAATCAGATTTCGGTAGCTAATGTGTTCCCCATTTCCATTCCCATTCCCAATTCCAAGCCCCAATCCAATTGCGTGCCCTGACCCCGATGATGTCATGACTCTGAGGGCTTTCCCCCAACAACCCCAAGTGCTCGACACATTTGTAGGGGGTTTGTGGCAGTGGCAGCTTAACGTTCCCCTTGCCCGCCCATACCATTGCTGTGGGGCCTCCTCTTTGAAGGTCAGCGGGTGTCGCGGGTTGCCAAAGTCAAGTGCATGGCTAGAATGATGTCGGCCATACGGAAATGCGTAGCCGTCTGCCAACCCGACAATTGCATGAGCCATGTATAATTGGGAAATCATTTGATGATCGAGATTCCACTTTCAGTGCCCTTAATATTGGATTTTACTTTAAGCTTTACAAAAATCAGATAATCCTTCAGATAATTTTTTAGATGACTCTGTATTTGATTTTACAGCAACAAAATGTTGACAGTTTGGTTTTATTTAGATCAAAAATCGAAAATTTTTTTGGAATAATATAGAGTTGTTATTTTTAACTATTATATTACTAATTGCTATCACAGCCCGCCCTCTTATCAGATATTTACAAAAAACTTTGTTCATTTCAAAACGCTCCTTTGGCAAACAGTGTACATAGCTCAAACAAAACTGGCGCTCCCTTGTCAGTCACTAAAAACCTGAATTGCATAAGGTTCGAAAGGCGTCATCAAAGCACATTTTTATCTAATATATAGAAAAGGTTTCAATCATATTCCTTTAAAATAAATACAAATGAAGTACTCGCTACAAATGAAAGAGTCTGTGCAAATGAAATTGGCCGAGAACTGTGCTCAACAACCCCATGATTGCCACAAAATGAAATACGACTCTTTTGAGTTTCAAAGGGATTTTCGTTTGACGTCACGCAACAAGGAAAGCTACGCACAGATGCGCTTCAATTTCAATTATCCAATTATTTTCAATTAAAAAGTTGCAATTTCAGCTTGCAGATTATAAGGCTTTAAGGTCGCAATCATCTCTTTTTATCTAAACTGGCAAATTTTTATTGGGGTCAGAAATTCTATTCGACAAAAACGAATTGGTGAATTTAAAAGCTCGAAAATCACGGGCGCTGGAAAATTGTAAATTGAGAAACTGGCTGTGATTCGAAGCTTTTCTTTTCCAACCAGCCAGTTGAATTTTAATCAAGGTAAATAAAACAGCGAAGGGTTTTCTTGTAGATACATATGTGTGATATGTCAATATGATGAAAATCTCCATCGGGGATATATAAACGAAATTCTAAGTTTAAACCTCAGCTGACCTGCATAAAAACCTTTCAAAATGATTATAAAACAAACTGGGTGAATATTGTAAAACAAAAAATTGATTACACTTTGCCTCCATCTTAAAAATGAATGCAAACACGTTATTAATTTCCTGGCCTTTCAGCCGAAGTTACCAAAAGTTCTATCAATATGAACAGAAAATTTAACTGATACAAAGGTTATAAGAACAGCTATAAATTGTACACAAAACAGATTCTGACGGTTTACGGCGGAGATCGGTTCTTCTCAGCATCACCGGCACCTGAAATGGCCCTGCCCGGAATGGTCCTCACTTTTGGCATGTTTCTGAGTATCGGAAACGAAATACCCTGGATATCCTCATCGCACAAGGCGGAGTAGAGCACCTGGGACACAAACTCGGCACGTAGCAATAGAAAATGGTTCTGGGCACGCTTGGATGTCCTGGGTGCCACGAAGCGATAGCAGAGGAAACGCCTGCGCTCCTGATCCCTCTGCTTGGCCACCTTCGCCGGGTCCTCGTTGAGGCAACGCAACAGATTCTCGATCGAGGAAGTGCCCAAAATGTCGGGCAGATCGCTTTCCTCCGGCGGCAATTCACTGAATTCCACGGAGCGCGTGGTCAGGGGCCGTGTGCTGGATCCCTGGCGCTGGAGTGCTCCGGGATTGCCCTGGAAACTGGGCATCCTGGCAGCCCGTTGCCGCTCGTCACGTGAAAACAGATTTGGGGCCAAGGTCAAGGATCGCGAATGGTGCGGCGCCTGGGTAAAAGCGGATGTGGGTCCGTAAACATTGATGGTCCGTGTGTTGTTGCCGCTGTTGGCCGCTGGTGGAGCTGAGTTTGCGGGTCTGGTGCGGAGTGCTCGACCGGATGGGGCTGCAAATGGCTGCAAACCAGCCTCGTCATAGAAGCGCATCATCTCGATCAGCGATGGATGTGTTACGATGGGTGCAGCGGGGGCATTCGGACTTGGTGCCACCACCTGCTGCTGCTGCTGCTGCTGCTGTTGTTGCGATGTGGCACTGAATGGTGTTGGAGCTTCCACGTTTTCTTGAATCCCATTCAAGCGGGATCTGGCTGTTATGGTAAGTAAGTTGTTGGTCATATCCATGTGCGTGTTATTGCCGGAGTTGTTTCTAGCAGCAGGCACTGGCGGCGGCCTCGAATTCATCGGACCACCTCTGGCCGCTGGGGCAGCACTTCGGCGTGTCATACGGGAGTACCGATCCCGGACGAGAGATTGAAGCCGATCACGGCCGTCAGGAGAAGACCGCCTCGCACGGACCTCGTCATTCCTATCCACACCCCTGCGATAGCTGCCATCCCGATTTAGGGGCTCCAAGAAGAGAGCCATGGAGCGCTCTGGGCGACGCATCAGTTCGTTGCGCGAAGTGGCGGCCACCGCAATGGAGGCCAACTGCTCACTCTCCAGGAAGAGCCGGGCCGCCTGCTGCTGCTCGAAGAGGCCGACCATGGTGGAGACCAGCAATGGACTGGCATCTGGATGCAACGCAGATACATGCTCCAGGAAAGTGGACTCGTTGAAGCCCCATCTCTTGCAGTAAGGACAGCGATAGCTCTGCGGCGGATAGTTGCTGATGTACTCGCCACCAAAGTACAGTTCCACATCCGCCGGAATGAGCACGCATACCACCGGATGGTCAAACGGATGCGTGGCGGTGGTGAAGTCATTGTCGTAGCAGCCTTCGCAAAGCTCAAAGTCTTGGCAGCTCAGGCAGCGATACCACCTGAAGGTGAATGACTGCTTTCCGCATCCTTTGCACTCGATACGATCGTGGCGATTCATCGTGGTTGATCGGCGTCTGCTTGGTGAGGATCGGATCACCAGGATCGGCTTTGCCCTCTATTCTCTTCAAATCAACAAATCCACACAACTTTCGCCCAATAAAATACTTTAACTAACAACTGGGAATGAATTTGAGCTGGCTGGCTCGACTGATTTTTAGAAGCCAACTACAGGCCCACAAATTGAGTAGGTTTATAAAGCACTCTTTTTTTTGTTATATTTTTAAACTACATTTGTATCTGGGTTTCTTTAGTAGGTAAGATACGAATGGGCACCGTCCTGCCATGAAAATAGTCTTTTAATTAAAAAGAAACTTGGTCGCCCAATCAAGGCTTCAACCAAACTCGGGTCGAATATTGTGTACTCACATTTCTTTTTTGTGCTGGTGCAACAAACTTTCATGTTCCACACAATTTGTGAAATTGTTGGAGAAAAGTTTTCCGGGTCAGCGTGGGTCAAGCGAAGGCGCAAGGGAGGGAAAATAGGAAGGGGGTGGCCAGGGGAGGACAGGAGTCAAATTGCTGTGGCAAGTAACTAATGAAGTTAGCTGACGTAGTCCTGCACCTGGATAAATTGCTCTCCGAAACTAATGTACGACTTTTTGTCGTCCTGGGAATTAGTTAACTTAGTTTGACCTAAGCCTTCGGCTTAGCTTGCTAGCTAAATTCAGTCGACAGGTTAAATATGATGTCATAAGTTTATAACTTAATGTTTAATCATGTTACGATCTGTGAATCGTACATAATTCCAGTTGTGCTGAACTTTTTCATCAGTTTTAGAAACCATCAACATCAGAAACTTTCGCTCAAATTATCTTTAGAGTTCCAATCTCCTGTGAACATTTCCAATCTAAAAACACACAGCCAACAGACCGAAAAAAACTAACTCAAGTACTGAAAGATGCATCAAAAATAAAAAAAGTGACAAGTTGAGACGCACAAGGAAAGGAAAAAATGCTACGAAACGAAATGTTTTCCCCGGAGGTAATTCATTTTTATAAGACTCCCATCTTGCCACAAAATTCCCGTTGTGACATGGGAAAACAATAAGGAAAAGTGCTACGCCTGGATGGGCGTTTGACTTGAGTGCACGATGAGAGTGGAATAAAGGCAAAATAAAACGAACTATGTTATTATCCGTTTACGAATGCACATGTCTAGTAGAAGTCCGGGGGCATTCACAGATTTTTTCATCCAAATCTACCAGCAGGCTCTTCGAGGCATCCTGGAGTTGCTCCGAGGATATGCAGACCCCTTATTTCTGGCTGCGCTCAAGGAGTATCAAGAAGTACTTCGTGCACTCGCCTTGGAAGCTTGCCAAAAGGATTTGATGTGTGACAGACTACAGGATAGGGGCCACAGGGAAGGGATTTGGATGTGCCGTGTATAAGTAAGCTCCTCCTGACTGGCGCCGCTTCCTCTGCTGCCTTGAATTGGAATTGTGTGAAAAATAGTTGGCAATCAGAAGAGGGGAAATGGCCGGAACTGTGTCATCAAAGATACATTGAACTGGAACTTGGGGATCACGAGTAAGAAAGCCAAGGGAGAAATCCAATGGACATACATTTCATTTTATGAAGTAATAATATTGTTGCAAAATAGTAATTCATTAGCTACACCCATTTACTCGATTTGCGAGAGTACAGACACACTGATAAACACAAAGCTCTGAATTGGATTATCTGGCCTCCATGAAAACTCTCTGAGGCTGGAAAATCGCTTAGTCAACCTTGATGTGGGTTTTCTAACCCCGACCGGCGGTGTATACTGGTTGAACAATAAAAACTTTAATCAAGCTGTATAATCTGGAAATGTTGCGAGCTGAAGCGACAAGCAAAAGCATTTAACTTAAGTGCGAAATTTAATAACTTGAGATAGGTTAGTTGTGTCTGCATGAATAATCATTATAAGCGACACATAGCACAATAAAGAGGTATGATAAGTTCGCATCTAAATGGCCTAAAAATGTTTAAAGTTTAAACGCTATCAGCACCATGACATAACATTTCTGCTGTGATAAGGCTAACTTTCAGCCATTGTTAGTAACCGCTGAAAAATTTGATGACTCTTTTGCTCGGTAGCCTTAAATTTGGGTAAATATGCACAAATATTGTGAAACGTCACAAAAAATCAAAATTGAATATTAAACAAAATTTTTCTGATTGTATGACTAGTAATTACGCCCTAAATGGTTCATTAATCTAATCGTCAGTTTGTCATAGTTAAAACAGATTAGTTATATTTATTTTTATTTACAAGTTACAGAACCACTTTCAACTAAGCTGACGACGTGTATACTTCGTTTTCCGTGTTTTTGAACTTTTATATATTTAGGAGATATCACTGAGTGTGAAAAAAGGCAACAGTTCCAATGAACTGATAAGAGTCTACAATGGGATTTCAAAAAAAATATCTATTAGCTATATCAGCCAGACTTGTAGAAATTGTTGACCTGCCCGTACACGTCAGACAAACTGTTTTAGGAGTTAGTCATACTTTCGCTTGCAAAATATTCGTTTAAATAGAGAAATTGAAGCAGTAAGTGCATTAGCGAACCCTTAACCTTAAGTTCATTGCACTGTGAGCATTTTGTAATATGGGTCATTTGGCAGGTCAGTAAATGCTGTGATTTCGGACAACTACAATCAGAATGTGCGGGCTCAGCTCGACTTCTGCCAAAGGAGCGTCAGCCAGCCGCAACTGGGAAACTCCAGCTCCCTGGAAAACGAACTGTTGTTTGAGTGTGTTGAGTCCTTTCGCTTGTAGCTCCGAAAATGTGGCCAGGACACGCAAACAGGACGGGACGCCCAACGTGGCGCCAATGCGGGCAGACAGGAATGGAGCAGGGTGGTGGTTACAATGGAAACGCTGTGGCGCCAGGAATTGCGGGTTTTTTGGTTTTGCGGGGACAGAAAGAAGGAATCCACATAAAGCAGGCACTATGTTTATCTGGTTTAAAGGGCTACAAAAAGTACACCCGTTTCAAATGGTTAATTAAGGATGTTTGCAAGAATGCGGTCATTTCGAATAAGAGCATATTCTTTTTCAGGGTATTTTGTATCATCTTATCCTTGATGGTTATGTTGTTTCACATTAAAAGAATTAATTTAGTGCAGTTACAATGATCACATATGCTTATCCACAGCTCAATTAACTCTACATTAATTATACATTAGTATACCTTTCGAAGCTCTGTTACTACCGGTCGTTTAGGCTGATTTCCCCACATCCTGCACTAAGTCCTCGCTTTTTCGTGTCCTTCGAGCCTTGGAGCTAGCGTTTTTAATGTCATTTAGTTGGCAACGGGGACCACAAAAGAATTCAATTTATGAGTTGGGTCTACACGGGTGTGTCTTTGTGTGTGTGTGTGCGGTATGTGTGTGTGTGTGTGTTGGCCAGGACCTGACGCTATATTTGGCACGCACAAGAGATATAGAAAGCGATGGAGGGGCAGGGGCTAAAAAGACAGGCTCGATGTCACTCCTGTTGAGGTATTATTAGGCCCAGATATTGATTTCCCATTATTGTGCCTCAATTAATTATGGATATGGTGACCGTGCCCCAGCATCATATAACCAAATACACTGGAAATACTCGCAACAAAATGTAATGTAAGCTATATGTCTTACAACGTGGCTGTGCTTATTTGGTTGAAGAGTATAAAACTGGATTTGGTTGCATCCCAGCAATTTAATACGAAACAATAATTCCTATAGCTTAAAGAAGTAAAGACCGCTAGTTTCTATACCTCCACGTAAATGTCAGAGGCCACTCTTTGTTTGACTTTGGATTTGATGATGTTTGGAGGGGACTCTTATGTGCACCGCTGGCACAGAAACTTTCGGAATAGGGGAACTCCTAGGGTCATTGGACTATATTTGTTTTGGATATCTAACCTGCAGACGAGGGGCACCATGGGCAGCGTTTGCCTGATGGAGGCCCGTACATTCTGGATCCGCTTTTCAGGCCACACGTGGTCGAACTTCAGTTTGAGTCCGTACTTCGGCACCGCCGTGATCTCGTTGGGCTCCTCCAGCTGGAGCTTCATCTTCTCCTGGAAGACGGCACTGGCGGACTCGGCGATTCCCACCGCGTTTCCATTGGCATTTCCATTGCTCACCGGCTTGGTTTCCACTCCCAAAGGTTCAGCCATTTCGAAGTCTCGATTTCGATGATCGGTGCTCGGTTCGCAAACTATAAATATATAGCTAGTATAGCTCCGGAAACTTTTTAATTCATATTTCGCCTATATCTCAATTATTTCGAGAGCAGCACGAACGCGCGACCGGAGCAGCCGAAAAAACAACAACATCTGAGGCAATCGGTATGACCGAGTGGGGACGGCACTGAAATGCCAAACGAGTTGAAATGGGGCAGAGCCAATCGATAACGTGGGGAATAGAAACTCGGGCGCCAAGCTTAAATTTGTGGTGAGATGTTCGGAGTCTTTGAAAAATAAAAAAAGCATATAGTTTAATGTTAGGAAAACAAGCTATATAAGCATGCATAGGTCGTAACTTAAAAAGAATGAACTGGTCACATTTTACTATATGACAGATATCTGAAAAAACTGCCGCCTTGATATACTTGTATATAAATGTAAATCAGAAAATTTATTCGAGCTTCAAGTTTATTATCTTCATTACTACTTGAAGACAAGAGGTGTCTAATTTAAAGATTTAATGTACTTCGGACAGACACATTTGCTCTTCTTCAATTTGGGCTTCTTTGGTGGACTCGGCTCCTCGGCGGGATCGGTGATAATCTCATCGGGATACGTCTTCTCGTTGCACTTGGATGTCATGAACTGGAAGAACTCGATGTTACGGACATGGGAGTTGAACTGGTCCTTGAACTGGAAGTAGTTGGGATACACCTTGTGCTTTATCATGGCCATATAAAGGCTAAAACGCTGTTGTTCTATAAACGTTCGCCGTCGATTTTCTTCATGACGATTGTTCCAACTACGCTTGCTTATCTCCAGGTGAACCAAATGACGCAGTTTTGGATAAAGATGGAACAGAATAGCTCTGAGAAATAGTAGTAGTAACATAGTAAAAATAATATCTCCAAAAAACTTGTATTACAACTCACTCATTAAAGCGATGTCGCTGCTTTCTAAACTTGATCGAATCGAATTCAGAA